CCACGATTGGTCATCTTTCATCTGGGACAGCCCAAAATCATACAATGTGTATCAGGCATAAGGATCCAACATTTTTTTAGCTGTACATGTCTTTACAACCAGCAATGCTCTTCTGATTTCTGTCCCTCAGGTGTACCAGATTGTGGTGATCCGCTCGGGCAGCTACGACTGCGAGCGTGTAGCTATCGAGAGGCGCTACTCGGACTTCCTCCACCTCCATCAGGAGCTCCTGCTGGACTTCAGTGAGGAAATGGAGGACATCGTGATGCCCAAAAAGAAAATGACGGGCAACTTCTCCGAGGAGAACATCGCTGAGCGCCGCGTGGCCCTCAGAGACTATCTCACTCAGCTCTACTCCCTCCGGTTTGTCCGGAAATCCCAAGCTTTCCAGGCGTTCTTCACTCATCAGGAACTGAAAGCTGCATATAACCTCCTGCGCGCGGGACGCTTCTCTCGAGCGCTCGAGGGCCTCCAGACGGCGTTAATACTTCAGGAGAAACTGTCTTCTCACAACCCTACTTTAGTGATACCAACCTTGTGCGCCATATTGGTGTGCCAAAGGGATCTAGAAGACTTTGACGGAGCATTTCAGACCGGCAGAAGAGCTCTTCCCACAGTGAGACGCTATGAGCTCCGCCAGTATCAAGGGCCCCTGCTGGAGGCTCTCGTTGATTTGGGCTACAGTCTTGAGTTACCCGTGGCTCAGTTACAGGACGAGCTGACCAGAGTTCGAGACGCGCCACACGGGCAGGCGTCACTGGTGTCCCTTAAAGAACTGGTGGTCCAAGAGTTTGTATAATCAGTGACAGCTGTAACTTAGTTGTGTTTATAAACATTATTTGAACAAATCGCCAAATGAGTGCAAAGTCCCACAGTTGTAGGAAATACAATGAGACCAGAATTTCATAGAGACTTGGGTTGGGCTCTTTTGACTCGGGCCAGAAAGCAACCACCATGATCAAACTAGCAGCCATCGAGCAATGCCCGAGCACCCACACTGAACACCCTAGCAACTGCATAGCAACATGCCCCACCCAGATGTAATCACCAGAACATCAAAAACATGAGGATATATGTCTTTGACTTAGGGCAGTGTGCTTGTTTTCATGAACCCATACTGCCCATATTTGTATTATTTCACATTTAATTTTCTCTGCAAACCTTTTCCATTTATCTTGGATGACAGTGAAAATGAAATGTCGGTGGTTTACTTTAGCAAGTTAGTCTGAATTGCTTTCACCAATTGTGAACATTTCAATCCAGTGTTTGTTATTGTTCACTAAAACTGTTAAAATATTTTTTGCTAATTGGAATAAAGCAGAGTGAAATTAAAATATACATATTATATAAAAAAGTGTTGCCAATGTAACTAACTGAAATAAAATGAGTTTAACTTAAAGCTATACTATGCAATTTTTCAGCGCCAGAGTTCACATTTTCAAAACAATAAAGGCAAAGCGTGATGACGCTATTAGGGAGAGTGGAACGGTGGATGATGTTTTCACCATATATGGTATATTTGGTATAATTACGAATCATGTTCACAAATGAGGTAGTAAATACATTTTTATATTACCTATTCGTTTGATCACACTATTTGATGTCATCGTGATGAATTAGCTGCATGGAACGTGTAATGTAATGCTATATTAGCCTGTTACTGATATGTGACTATTTGTCAAATGATTTCGTGGGTTAATGCTGCACAGTTTTACACGTTTAAAACAATCGTACTAAAAGTAAATTTGAACGGAACCACAGAATTTGCAAGTAATGGTTAAATATTTCTCCCTGTTCTATCCTATGTCAGTTATTGTTTGTGTCAAGTGCACACTGTCTCATACATTGGCTTGTTATCATGTTTGGAATAAATCCTCTTGTTATTCGAGTCTGTATTATCATCGTCTTCATTTGGGAACCTAGCGTTACAGAATAACCAACCAAAATTATCAACATGAGACTCACCAGTGTTGCGTGTCCTCTTGCTCCCGGAGAACCGGAAATATCTGGGATACTTGGCCTGGATGATCCGGAATGGCGACCTCTCCCTCACCACCAGCGAGCCTGAAGTGCCCACCGAGAACCAGCCCCGGAGTCGACACAGACGGGTCAGTCCATCGCAGAGCCAGGAGTGGACTACAACCTGATAGACCAGTGGTTCATGGATCCTATTCTCACCCACACACATCTTCTTCGCCGGTCTTGTCCAGACGTCTTCCGTCTGCATCCCTGCCTCTCATCCTTATCCCGTCTCCATCGCTGGTCACGACCAGCCCCCTGGATCCGTCGGCACCACTTGTGTCGTGTAGCTCCTCGGCTCATTCTGCACAGCTCATCGTCCGCGCAGCTCATCGTCCGCGCAGCTCATCCTCCGCGCAGCTCATCGTCCGCGCAGCTCATCCTCCCCGCAGCTCATCCTCCGCGCAGCTCATCCTCCGCGCAGCTCATCCTCCCCGCAGCTCATCCTCCGCGCAGCTCATCGTCCACGCAGCTCATCCTCCGCGCAGCTCATCCTCCGCGCAGCTCATCCTCCGCGCAGCTCATCCTCCCCGCAGCTCATCCTCCGCGCAGCTCATCCTCCGCGCAGCTCATCCTCCCCGCAGCTCATCCTCCGCGCAGCTCATCCTCCGCGCAGCTCATCCTCCGCGCAGCTCACCCTCCCCGCAGCTCATCGTCCGCGCAGCTCATCCTCCGCGCAGCTCATCCTCCGCGCAGCTCATCCTCCGCGCAGCTCATCCTCCGCGCAGCTCATCCTCCGCGCAGCTCATCCTCCCCGCAGCTCATCCTCCGCGCAGCTCATCCTCCGCGCAGCTCATCCTCCGCGCAGCTCATCCTCCGCGCAGCTCATCCTCCGCGCAGCTCATCCTCCGCGCAGCTCACCCTCCCGCAGCTCATCGTCCGCGCAGGTCATCCTCCGCGCAGCTCATCCTCCCCGCAGCTCATCCTCCGCGCAGCTCATCCTCCGCGCAGCTCATCCTCCGCGCAGCTCATCCTCCGCGCAGCTCATCCTCCCCGCAGCTCATCCTCCCCGCAGCTAATCCTCCGTGCAGCTCATCCTCCGCGCAGCTCATCGTCCGCGCAGCTCATCGTCCGCGCAGCTCATCGTCCGCGCAGCTCATCCTCCGCGCAGCTCATCCTCCTCCATCCTCATCCTAATGAGGAATCTATGTATAGGTATATATATCCATATGGTTTCTACAAGCGGAAACCGAGGATAGCGCAGATATTACGTCATTGATAGGCGGACGATTATTTAAAACTAGAATTTCTCTGGATTTCCAAATCCTTGGTAACTTTTGGGATAATGCAAATACACAACTGCATGAAATATCAAACTGTGAAAGTGTTTTTTGAATATTTTATTACAAAAATCGTACATAATGTACCTTTAATTACTGGGGAAAAAAGAGAAGTCCTGGTGTAAAAATCCCGGACACACCCCAAATAATAATTTGTACGTCAATATTAAAATGCGAATGTTTGTGTGCCTTTTTGTTGAGTCTTTCATGGAAGCATCAGCTTGGGCACAATAACTAGTCTTGCCAACTACTTAGCATAATTGTCATAAAGCTTTGAGAATAGTCAAACAAACTTAGAAAATATATATAAAAAGTACAGGTGTGCAAACAATATTTGTCATTGTGACATCATTTTGTGACTTTCACTTCAATCACTTAAATGAAAAACTTCATACTGTCCCAGAACAACAAATATTATGCATATGTGACCATCTTACTTATTTCATCTCATTAAACTCCAGAAAGCAGTTTCTTTCTGATGCATGTGCACGTCACAGGATTAGAGCGATCCCTTACAGTGGGGACATTTGCACCTCCCTCCAATCTGTCCAAGCGCACCTCATCAGACACCCTAAGGTACACTGGTCCCATTTCCCTTCTCCTCCAAGGCTTCTGTCACTCTGTGATGGAGGTTTTCCTATATAAAAAAACAAAAAACAGAATATTAATACGGCTTGGATACACACCATATAATTCACACATTTACCAAGGTATTTACAATTTGGTACTTTAAGGAAGTTATTTTTAAATGTAGCCTATACAGTACATGTCAAAAACATAGTGGCACTATGGTAACATGAGAAAACCGTCCTTAAGCAACTTCATATTTTTAGGCTATTATGATAGCAGTCGCTGTTAGTTACGCAATAAATACACTTATATAACTATTAATACCAAAATAATGAATGAAAATATAATTGAATCCTCAAAGGCGATTTGTAAGCAAAAACGTCTGTTTAACTTACCAAAACCGCATCAATAAATCCTCACAGTGGTGGAATATACAAGAATGTGTTTAATGATTTTGAAAAGTAAATCATGTGTTGCCAACTTGCCAAATGGTAATGGGTATAGAGCTTCAGACATGAGTAATCAATATATTCATTAAAATAATGTGTAGTAACTAATTGTAGTAACTAATTTTTAAACTAAGCCACATTACAAATAACTGAGCTATAATTTAATTAATAACATTATAGTACTATTAGATTTGTATTACAAATAATTTAACAGCAAATGTTGTCGGTCGATCTGTGCTGCTGTGCAACTAATCGAGCCTTGCTTGTTTTGCCACAGCGCGTGCGCAGACTTCATGCGGACTAGTATTTATGTTAGCGTTTTGTGCCGGACACAGTCATGTTGCCCATGTAATACATAAATCTAAGAAATACTTTACATAAATTAATTTACATTAAAACGTGCAGTTTAGCTCTTTTCTGAAATGGCAAACGATGGTGCAGCGAAACTGTCTAAAAATCTCCTGCGAATGAAGGTAAGTTAAGAAGCCGTGACTCTTGCTCATCAGAATCAGCTCGAATGTATGATATTCAGAAAACAGAGTTATTCGGCGATCAGACTTTGATTGAGCTTGTAATAAGATGTTTTCATGTTAAAGTTCGGATTTGTTTTGAGTCTCGTGGCGTTGCTGAACACAGTCACGTGATGCAGTGTGTGAACTATGAACTTTATGTGTGTGTGTAGTTCATGCAGAGAGGCTTAGATGCAGAGGTGAAAAAGCAGCTGGATGAGGAGGAGAAGAGGATCATCAGTGATGATCACTGGTTCCTGGACCTTCCTGAGCTCAAGGCCAAAGAGTGAGACCTCACTGACGTCATCATCTCACTCATACACTGACATCATCATCTCACTCATACACTGACATCATCGTCTCACTCATACACTATCATCTCAATCAATCTCATTCATACACTGACATATCACTCAAACTAACATCTCGCTGACTGTCCTCAAAAAATATTTACACTCTTAAAGGGATAGTTCACCCCAAAAAATGAACATTTTGTCATCACTTACTCCCCATCAAGTTGTTCCAAACCTCCATTTGTTTTATTTCTTCTGCTGAACACAAAATATTATATTTTGAAGAAATTCAGTAACCAAACTGTCGTGTGGCACCAATTACTTCCATAGTCTTATTATAGACCATTTTGCAAGATGTAAACAACACTGGTCCAGAAACACTTCCTGTTTCAGTTTGTAACTGTTTTCTTTATTTCACATGTAAAGAAAAAAATCTTAAAGATGTTTGTTTAACTTTTTGATTCAGTTTTATATGTTGTGTTGGTTGTATTTTATCCCAGCTTTTATGTAGTGTTAAAAAACCTAAACAGGAAGTGCTTCTGGACCAGTTTTGTCCATCTTGCAAAATGGTCTATATATATATATATATATATATATATATTTGAACTTATGAACTATCCCTTTAAGTTACCCTTTAATGTCATTGTGTTACACAACAAATATCTATGGAAGCCCATTTCTGCCACATAAGAAAAAACCCAGTCATAATTATGAGAGTAAAAGTCAAATTTAAGAGATACTAAGTCTTAGTTACGAGTTAAAACGTTATGACACAAGATTATAAATATGTAAAAAGCTGATGTAAAAATATGTAAAAAAAAAAAAAAAAGATGAAAAAGCCATGATTATCACAAGTTGAATTGTCATTATTATTACTTGTATCATAATTTTGACTCGCATAATTATGAATTGGTATTAACTTTTTCATGATTTTTCTTTTTTCTTGTGTGGTGGAAATGGGCTTCCATAAACCAAGCCAAAATGAAGTTGGTGTCTCTGTTCAAAGTAAAGGCTATTTGTGTATGTTCGGGGAATATGTTGATAGTTTATGTGATGAACTACACCTGTGGTTACTGTGTGTTGAGAAGAACTTACTTCAGATACAGTAAAAATCACCTGATTTTCAGTCTATGGAAAAATGAGCTTAGTTCTAAAACTTTAAGGTTTTCTTTTGTGATGCAGAATGACATTGTTAAATGAGGCAAAAGCAGCCACATACCTTGTCCTACATAATTTGATGTGCAATGGCGTTGTGTCATGCGTGGGTTATTAAACTTTTGCCTCTGAAATCGAAAGAATCATATAATCGAGCTCTGTATCAGAATAAAAAAATAACTTGGCACTTTTATTCTGAGCAGAAACCACATCATCGAGGAGAGAAGTTACGTTCCCTGCGAGGATTTGGTTTATGGCAGAATGTCATTCAAAGGCTTCAATCCTGATGTTCAGGTACAAGCTTTGTAAACCTTTTTTTTTCAAGTCATATGTTTGCTTTCATTTAGCATATTTCTAAACTTTCTCATTTATTTCATGTTGTATGCAAAAAATGGAATTTCTTTATTTTTTCACCAATTAAAGGGATAGTTCACTTTGAAATTAATTTTTGGTATGTTTTATCTTACCTCAAGGGCATCCAAGATATAGGCGTCTTTGTTTCCACAGTATTTTCAATTTTGATATTTTTAGGTCAAACCGTTCTTGTCTGTCAGTCATATAATGGAGGTCTATAGTCACCACCTCAAAGAGCATGCACAGAGAAGTCCAAATTAAACATGATTTAATGACTCGTAAATGTAAGTACACATTGATGGCCTAAGACACGAAACGAGCGGTTTGTGAGAGATCACTTCCGGCGCTTGCACAGACTGAAGCGCCCGCGCCCTCAGATCACTTGGACGTGGCTGTGGTTACAAGAGGTAAAAACGATATAAATACTGTTCGTTTTCTCACACAAACCGCTCGTTTCGTGTCTTAGGCCATCAATGTGTACTTACATTTACGAGTCATTAAATCATGTTTAATTTGGACTTCTCTGTGCATGCTCTTTGAGGTGGTGACTATAGACCTCCATTATATGACTGACAGACAAGAACGGTTTGACCTAAAAATATCAAAATTGAAAATACTGTGGAAACAAAGACACCTACATCTTGGATGCCCTTGAGGTAAGATAAAACATATCAAAAATTAATTTCAAAGTGAACTATCCCTTTAATGTCTCAAACTTGGTGCATTTGATTAGCGTCCCGTCATCTGAATTATTTACTCATTGTACGTGATAAGATAATTTTTTTACATTTATTATCTAAATAACAATGAATGTTTTTTTTATTCACCACAAAACTGAATTTATGTAGAAGTTAATGTTGCTAATGAACGCACACAAAGAGGAGGAGGAGGACGACGAGGAGGACGAGACACTGAGCAGGATGGAAACCGATATCACAGACGAAGAGATGGCTAGAAGGTGCGAGAGGAACTCATCTCACCATGATGTCATAATATTCAGAGCAGATTTTGTAAGCGAAAGACATTGACTTGTTTATTTTTTCTTTCAGATATGAAAGTTTGGTTGGGAGCATGAGGAAAAAGTTTGCCAAGAAACGAGATCGCTCCGCTATTACAAGGACCGAAGAAGACGTCAACTGCAATATTGCCGATTATCCACCTAAACGGGCCTTCATGAAGCCTCAGGACTGACACATGTTTTTTTTTTTTTTTTTGTATTATTATACAATGGACATTTTTTTTAAGGTCTTCTTTTTAAAAAAAACTATTTAGTGATGACAAATGCATTGTTAAAAGATCATCGTTTTTTATGGAAAGGGTACTAGTGTACAGATGTGTGTACAGAAGGTGTGATTCATACATTTTTTTTCACAATTAAATGTACCGTCATAAAAGTTGTAAAATCCTGACCTGGATGTGTTGACCAATTCTTTAAACATTGCTGAGGTCTGCAATATAAAAAAAAAAAAAAAAACACTTTAAAAAAAAAAAAAAAAACTTTTGCTGATAATTTACTCACCTCCACGTCATCCAAGATATCCTTTCTTCAGTGGAAAAGAAATTAAGGTTTTTGATGAAAACATTTCAGGATTTTCTCCATATAATGGACTTCAATGGGAACCAAACGGTTCAAGGTCCAAATGAGAGTTTCAGTGCAAACTGTTCAAAGGGCTTTAAACGATTCCAGACGATGAATAAGGGTCTTATCAAGCGAAACGATCGATCATTTAAAAAAAAAAAAACATTTTATTAAAGCACAAACAAATGCTCGCCTTCCCAGATAGCAAACTGACATTGAATCAACGTGGAAACGACGTCTCTCATGACATTGAAACAACGTTGATTTGCTCATCGAATTAACGTTGAACCAACGTCAGACGCGGCATTCTTCAAAGCTAAATGAAATCGAAAATTGGTTTGCTTTCATAACGTTGAAACAACGCGTTGATTTCAAGTTGATTTTTCGTTAGTTTTGAAAGAATGACGCGTCTGACGTTGGTTCAACGTTAATTCGATGAGCAAAACAATGTCAGGTCAACATTGTTTCGATGTCATATTTCCACGTTGATTCAATGTCAGTCTGCTATCTGGGTTGCTCTGTTCTGTGATGAGCGTTCATGACTCTCCTGTTCGAACGTTTATCAAAATGAACAAATCTTTTTTCGAGTCATGACTCGAAGGGTCCTATATAAGACCCTCATTAATCGTCTGGTGTCGTTTAAAGCTCCTTGAAGCTGCACTGAAACTCTCATTTGGACCTTGAACCGTTTGGTTCAAGAAAACGCAGGCAATAAAAAAGGATTAAAAAAAAAAAAAATAGTTACATATAGAACCTTTAACTCAGAGTTGGTTGAACCTCCTTATTGAAACGGGCCCCGGGTGTGCCAGGCTAATATATAGCAGCTCAGGAGAAAACAGTGATGTCATCGTCCACCTCAGTTCAGTTCTCATATAATCAATGTCAATGGAGGCACATCAATATTATTGTTGAATATTAAATTGAATGACCCCAATTGACAAGGAAGCCAAACTCCATCAGGTACCAGTATGGAGAAAACCCCTTGAGAGAAACCACTCAGTTCTCCTCTACACAGTAGTGTAGCAATGTAGTTACTTTTTTTTGAGCGACGTGGAGTGACCCATTGTGCAATCTGTGGGAAAATCTTTCGCCCTCATGTGTTTGGATACCTATTGGAATGACTGGATTTCTACAATTCACCGTACAACAGTAAACGTGACGGCACTCCACGCTCCACTTCGACCACTGATGGTGTATTATTTGCTTCTAGGGGTGTAACGATTCAATACACATCACGATACGATATTATTGCGATACTCCAAGACACATGATAAAAAAATGTACAGTTGATTAAAATGCTAAATTTGATATTTATATTGAATAGGCTTGTACTTGTATTTTGTGCTGGAAACCCAATGCACAGGACAACAGAGACACCAGAATAAACATATTCATGATTCTGAAGCTGAAAATACAGAATTACTTTAGACAAATATGCTTGCACTCTGTCACTGAGTAGATATGTTTAAATATTTTATATTTAAACCACTTTTTACTGGTAACATTGGACATTTACATTATCAGGATCCACAAATATTCTCCTATTGCGCTATTATACATTATATTCAACATTATAGTAGTTTCATGTAAAAGTACTGACACTAAAATGCTGAAAACTTGAATTTTCACACACAGTAGTTTTCATTTAGGGTGAACTATCACCAGTACATCTTATCCACTAGGGCTGGGTAATAAATATCGATTTCTCGATATTAATCGATTCTCATTTTTACGAACCGATATCGATTCTTAAGTCTCAAGAATCGATTAGTCATCCTGTTTCATTTGAATGAATGGGACATTGTATCGCGGCTGCGCGCATTCAAAAAATCGCAATAATCTTTGTCCTTTGTTACTATTGATATGAAACAAAGTCTCAATTTTCAAATTACGTCCATTTTCTTTATAAATTCAAAAGAGTTTTGGCGCTGTGGCGTGAGATCGCTCTGGCGCAGGTGAAGCAGCAGCGCTGATCTCTCTTCCGGGTTAAAGGTGCAATACCTAAGATTTTTGCATTAAAATATCCCAAAATCACAAGGCCAGTGTTATATATTTAGTAAAGATGATAACTCACAATATTCCAAATGTTTCAAACAATGTTTAAATCGCGAGAAAATTGAGATTTTAACCAAGGAAACGGGACGTGTGAGCAGGGGTGAGCTGGGAGTCGCGAGTCAATCGCGTCATATCCGCTTACCTCGGTTTCCGCTCTTACTACGTGTAGTCCTGGACAAATGCGGTAGTTGTAGTTGTGCGTTAGCGTCTATCAAACGACAGCTTGTTTCGCGCATTTGTTATGGAATGGAGCACATATAATTCTTTTCATTTATTCTCGGAATGTGAACTGTTGGCTGTAAAGGGGGTCGCACACCGGACGAGAAGCGCCGCGTCACGTTTAGGACAACTCCAGTAACGTTATCGAACACCGGACGTGCACTTTCTCATCAGTGTATGGCCAGCAATATTGTTATGTTTAATGACAGAAAATGAAGATAATGTCTGTTCTATGTTATTGTACTGTACAATTAAATACAATCGTTGCTGAGTCTGCATTCTGAAAACTTTACCTCAGAGCATCCGTTCACAGAATGAATTGAGAATCTCACGTGAAAAATCTAATAATAATCAGTAATTGTCATTCAAGCAGCTGATTTCTGTAAATGACTGCAAAACTAAATGCATAGATATTGCAGCATAGGGCAAAGTCAGGATCCATTAGCAACGGTTTGAGGCAAAAATAATTACAATTTTATATAAAACTGTGTAAATGGCACGCTGTGGCGCAGCAGGATTTTGAACACGGTCCTGAGGCGTTGCTGGGCGCCGCGGACAGACGCCGAATGGCGCCGCCGGTATGTGTACACTTATAGATAATAATGTGTTCGAATAATTATGTGGTGCAACGCGGCGCTGCAGCTTCTCGTCCGGTGTGCGACCCCCTTAACGTTAATTTTGTGGAACTGTAGCTGTGGTTGAATAGACATCCCAAGTCTCCCGGATCTCCCGCATATTGATAGCGTTTCCCTGATGCCCGCAAATTAGTTCAAATCTCCCGGGATATAATGTTAGAGCGAGACATACTGCGCGCATAACATACAGCGCGCTGCGCGTGCACTGTACAGAGGGAGAGACTTTGCGTTTGTGCCTCGCGAACGCGAAAGTTAGCCTTCCCTCCCACCCCCACAATCTTGTTATCGAAATATACCTCCCGGAAATGAATTCTTGCAGGTTGGGATAACTGACATTAAATTGATTTTTTATTTTTATAAAGTTACCAAGGAGGGCCAACCACGTCAACTCCTTGCAAGAGACCTGCCCCTTCAAACCCTCTCCACCATAGCTTCGTCCAGTGACTCGAACAGTAACATCTGTGATAACTAATTTACTTTTAAACCTGACTTTTCTTGCACGGTTATTTCAGTTTAATGAAAAACAAGCATGTCATTAAACGCAACGTTTATAGAAATCGAACTTTACCTCATCCATGACAACTAATTTTCGATTCCCGTCTGATTGATTTATCCACGGTGGAGTTGAAAACAACAGTTCCCATCATTCCGCGTTCCTCCACGGCGTCATCAAGCAAAGCCGTTGTTGTTGTTTTGAATGTAGCGCCCTCTAGCGGCATCTAAATCTTAGGTATTGCACCTTTAATAATACCAGTCACAGCGCGAAATAAACATGAATGAGCATCTGAAAGTGTGTTAAAGATAGAGTACAACTTATCGAAATCCATATCATGTCACATTGATTCGCTCAATCAGCGTTTCAACCGTGGAAAGACGTCAATTAAACAGCTTGTAAACAATATCTTGTCATGTATCATCATATTTACCTCAGAAGACCCACATCAACTCGTTAGTCAGATAGAAAAAAATAACTCCAGAGAGGAGCATTTTGCTAAATATATACACTATATTACATATGCATTATAATCTTAAAGTTCTTCGATATTTAATGCATATTTTAATAAATCTGGCAAGTTTTTTTGACAGCCACCATTTAAATGTTTATAATTCATATAATCTTATTATAAAAATAAATAAAAGTGTAATTTAAGTGATTCATTTATTATTACCTTCATATTTGAATAAATCTGGCAAGTTTTTATGACAGCCACCATTTAAATGTTTATACTTCATATAATCTTCTTATTATAAACATAAATAAAAGTGTAATTTAAGTGATTCATTCATTATTACCTTCCTATTAGGCTAATGAAGCCTAGTAGGCTACAACTAGTCTCCCATAGTTTACAGCATTAGTTAAGAGATTTAATTCCCTTGAGAAAAATTGCCATTTATTGTAACTGATATCCAAAATAATCGATATTGAATCGAATCGAAATCGAATCGAATTGAAAGCTTGTGAATCGAAATCGAATCGAATTGTGAAATTTGTCTCAATACCCAGCCCTATTATCCACGATACATGTTGTATTGCAATATATTGTTACACCCCTATTTGCTTGCCTAAGTCCTTACCTTCCCATTAAGTACTGTTCACTTGTATCTCCAAACAGAATCACAGTTCAAGAAGCCTCAAGTTGTGCAGGTTGGGCATCACCAGTCATAAATATTGTGGAGAGGATCCTGTCGGACAGTGAGGTGGGACAGTGTCTGTAGAGTAAGGGAAGAGCCCACGCTGCGGCCCCTGGGTAATAGAAGTGTTTTGGTCTCGGGGACAGTATCGCATGCTTCAAATCCTCCAGAAACGGGCCTGTGTCGGAGCTTGATGCTGAAGACATGTTGGCCAGCCGCTGCTGCATTGAGCGGATGTATTCTTCTCCGTAGGACGTCATCACTTCCTGAGACACACCACTGATGATGT